CCCCAAAACCCCAAAACCCCGTGGATACAAATCTTTAAAAATATGATTGATGTAATTATATGAATTTACTAAACATCAAAAATATTTCTTTGTAGTATTATTTTTAGTAAATTAAAATTTATTCCACTAAAATTGAATAACTTTAGTAACTTAAAACACAATATTTAAGTAAACAGCATTTTAAGCAATCATTCCTATATCTGAAATGTTAAAGAAAGCACATTCACTTTCACTTGTTTTAATTAACCTTGGATTAATCTCATGTCAAACGGATCCTGATTAGAGTCAAATGTTGCTTGAACTATTAACATCTTTTACAAACTTTGCAATTTCTTTAAATGGCACTGCTATACCCTATGGAGCAGCAGATTAGATTATTCCAGCCCTTACTAACTTTTTAGATTACACTGAATATATACCTCTGGTTAGCCTAATCCCACAATCTAATATTGACTAAAATATCATAAAAGAGCTGCTTGATGAAAGAAGTAAAGCAGATACAAGAAGCTTTGGACTTGCTGATTAATAAATATCTAGTCTTTTTAATAATCTTGACCAAGCCTAATGCTATACACATTTTTCTTAAGGGGTTGCTGAGATTTACTCAGGTTTCACAAAATTCTAAAAAATCGCTAATGGTGAAGATTCTCAAGGCGTTGAATTCGCCAATTATTGTGCAGTTGAAACTAATTACAGTTTCTTCCTTGACAATCTTATTGCCCTGCTTGATGGATCTGGAGATTGTGATTTATTAAATGCCCTATATAATGGAGATCCTAAAAACAACTTCTATATGGGCTGGAGAGATTTTATGGCAGATAAAGCTGGTTTTATTGTTATGTATATCACAATGGGAGTAGCAATGGAAACCATTTTTAATTTGTACAATGCAAGTTTAGATTAAAATTAAATAAGCACAATCAACGATTATTATATAGCTGCCTTGGAAAGAGTTATCTAAAGAGTTATTTAGTTCGATTAACTAGCACTGTAATCTGTTTAAAGTACAATGACATAAAACCTTATTCAATTGATGTCTGATAATCCAGGGTTAAGTCTTGATGTTTTTGGCTATAACTTTAACACATTCACTTTAAATGCTATTTATAGCTAGTTATTAGTGACATTAGGCCTGACATATAGTAGTAGTGATGAGGCGAATTTCTATTCGGAGTGTTGGAACTGTATTCATGCTACTGTAGGTGATTATAGAGGAATCGCAGCCTGGTTAGGCAAAAATTCAGCATCATCTCTATCAAGTGACTTAAACCTTCAATAGTACGTTACTGAATCTAGCTCACCTTAAGATATTACTAGTGCTATCTGGGAAAATGTAGGTGACTGTGTTAGTGGAATATGGATTTTTAATTAATCAACCCCTCACTCAGTAGATTCTGCTTTTGGTGATAGAATAGTCAGATATAATGGAGATGTTTATGACATTTATGTTTGGGGCGTTCAGGAAGATTGCTTAGGCAGACCAGCTCCTATTTGATTTTAAAATATTGAATCTAGTTTTAAAATATACTATCTAGTTTTAACTAATTTCTAAATTTAATTATTTTTTTTGTATTATTGCGAGGTATTTATCACTTGGGGTTTTGGGGTTTTGGGGAGATCGGAAGAGCG